ATGAAAATATTAAATACGGAGAATTATAACCATACAAAGGATGAAAACAATCAAAGCGGCTGCAGAAATGATTTTACCATGTAATATCATATCTTTTTTAAAAGAATATCTTATAACCTTACGAACTGTGGGGAAAGACTCCAATGTCTTTCCTCCAACCCAGGATATAGAAGAGAAAAAAGGAAAACACTATGTGGAAATGATGACTCACAGATTCAACATCGGGATGCAATTATGGCAAGACTTTTGGGGTTAGATTTAATTAGCCAATCCAAAACTAAACTGGTTTTAATTCCACGAATTTGTGTAATCCTTTCTGGATTTGATTGAAAATATATCATGAACTTAATCATGACGGGAAGAAGCTAGAACACACCTATATTGAATTTTAATCATCATCATTATATATGCGACCCCTTAATCGTTCAAACTTGTTTTTAACACACACTAATCAAATTGTCTCTTCGATCCCCCTCTATCAGCTCCACCAAGACCCAATCCTTCAATTGCGGACAACTTTTTTTTTTTTAATCAACCAAGAACGCTTACTCTTTATACACTATCAGGAGGAATTCAACAAGAAATGACAAATGCTTCCTTTAGGGAAGCTTCATTCTTGGATCACTGGAAATATATATACACACACGATTCAAGTATTTAGAATTCAATAATTTCGGCCAAACAAAGACCTAGATTCATGTATATGAATATAAAGTATGACCCTCCCCCACCAACAAAAAAAAAAAGTCAGGCCAAGTCAAATGAAGAAAAGAAGAATGAGATTATCACATTTGGAGTACTGTTTCACCATTAAAATGAATGAATAAGGCAGAGAGAATGATTACATTTTTTAAATGACTTATCTAATAGGTCTTTATACTTTATAGTACGACTAATCTATTAACTAGTGTATTTTGGTTGGAAATTCTCCTTGCACAGAAGATTGCGTAAACAGAAGTCACATATTCCAAATAGTCACATATTTCAAATAATAAAAATAAGAATTTATATAACTGACTTGACATGCATAAACTAATATAATTTTAATTTTTTAAAATAAATAAAATAGAAATTGCATCATTTGAAGATTAATATATTAGGAAATTTTTGTAAAAAAGTATAATAATATTAACTTAATATTTAAAATATTCATATTATCAAAATAATTATCAAATAATAAATTTTTTTTTAACGTGACATTAATATAATCCCAATAGTAAATAAATTTTATTTTGATTTATGTAAATAAATATTGTTTAAAAAACTAAATTGATTTAATAATCTTAATCAAATTAAATTTTTAAACATCTTTTATGAGCCACAATAGACTTTTCTCATCAAACAAAACATTAACCCAAGAAGTCATTTAATATATCATTCTTTACATGAGCTTGTCTTCCCTCTAAATGGTAAAACAAGGGAGGGGCTAAGGAAGACAATCCCCTTCTTTCAAATTTATACAAACCTTTATTATTTCTGATTTTTTATTAATAATTAGTTATTGTCCCCTTCAAAACTTATAGAATTAATCATTTAGTTATGAATATTATTTCTATTATATTTTATCATATAAATAAGGAGAAGGTTATACTTACAAACTTTTTGTTTACAAACTCTTACAAACTACACTAAGTATGACCTGTTACACTTCAATCAAGAGTGTATGACCGATTATACTTAGTGTAATTTGTAAAAAATATTTGTAAACGGATCATTTCTCTATAAATAATTGTAACTTCAAAGAAAAATAGACAATGTAATTTTGCCTCTTTTAAATAATTTTCTATTCCAAATAAAATAAAATAAATGTAGAAAGGTGACAAATGATTGAAAAAGTACTGTCACGGGAGAGTATATCTGGGACATATAGCCAAAAAAAAGGGGTCTTCAAGATAATCCATTATCATGTCTATGAAAATTAATTGCATAGTCTTTTTTCTCTCTTCTCTCTCATTTCATTTCTCTCTACCCCGCTCACATGAGCCGTATCCACTGAATATTTGCTCGATGCTTATGCCTAAGTCTCTGTGTGTGTGTGCCCGCGCAAATAGCACACTACCTTTCAATTGTCAAAATGTCTAAAAGTCCTCGACATTAACTTTGCACAGGACAATTATATATAACCACCAATTGATTTCTGGTCGTTAATTAGTAGCTAGCAGTAGCATTGTCAAGGGGTGTCAATATAGGTTTTGACACGCGGGTCGACCCGCGACACGACACGAAAATTCGTGTTCGGGTTAACCCGCAAAAAAATTCGTGTCGTGTTCGTGTTGAGAAAAATGACACGTAAAAAATTCGTGTCGTGTTCGTGTTGATGTATTCGTGTTCGTGTCGACCCGTATTTTTTTAAAATTATTTTATTTTTTATTTTTTATTATTATTTTTTTAAATTTTTTTAATTTCGATCCATTTTTTTAAATTTTTTTGTCAATTACCGTTTTGACCCTTATTTTGCATGTTATTCGTATCGTGTCGTGTCAACTCGTAAAAAATTCGTGTCGTGTCAGTGTTGAAGATTTTGACACGAATAAAAATTTGTGTCGTGTTAGTGTTGATGTATTCGTATCGTGTCGAATTCGTGTCGTGTTGAATTCGTATCGTGTCAATCCATTTTGACACCCCTATTGTCAACTAATAAAGATAGCACCAGGCGATTGATCTTGAGCAAAGGACACATATTTTATGCATTGCAAAAATACTTCAAATTTAGATAAAATTTAAGAGTATAAATAAAAAAATAATTAAAATTATAAAAAAATGTATATATGATTTATTAAGATAAAATATAAAAAATATAATTGAAATTGGAAAAATTAAAATTATAAAATATACATAATTGATTCAAAAGAATTTCGATTTGAAATTTAAAAGTAGAAAATTTAACATGTGTTACTCTTAAGGAACAGTGTATTTCAATACTGTGTACTCTAATTTTATATATAGGACTTAAAATTTTGAAACTAGGACAGAAGGATTTTAATGTAAAAATAAAAAATTATAATTATTGTTTTTTGGATACAAACAGTTGAGATTTGTTTTTTTTTTTCTTTAAAAAAAAACTAACAAAAAAATTTAAATTTTTTCTAATTTTAGAATCTTTTTAAAAAAAATTAAAGAAAGCTGTGTTCAATAACAGTAAAGTTACATTTCTTAAGAAAAAAAGGGAATATAATAAGCTCTAAAAATGATAACTTAATTTTGATTGATTGATATCATCGTTCATTGGACAAAGAACATACAGCTTATATATATAGAAGACAAACGGGAGAGATTTTGATTGATGCGAATTAATCTTTATAGGTGATTATCCTAATATTAAGGATTATTCAGTGAATGATTTAAATTAATTAAAAATTAAAAAAGAGGTGATCGTAATGGCACAAACTAATTAATTAATTAACCCAATGAATTAACCACCTAGCTACGATACTACATAGATTTTCCAAGTATACTTAATTCGCTAATTATGTAAAAACTATACTTTTTACGTGTAAGTACTTCAAGATAGACTTGGACCTTAATTTTTCGGACTATGCGCACAATTGAAAAGGAGAAAAGTAATATATATATATATATATATATATATATATATATATATAGAGAGAGAGAGAGAGAGAGAGAGAGAGAGAGAGAAAACAGTAGGTGGTGAATGGTGATAGATATTGATAGAATATGATATATAGACAGCGTCCATCCATCACAAATAAAAAGAACTAGCTAAGCATGTAAACAAATGGTAGTAGTTTAGTTGATACATGGGAATTGAGCAGGTGGGGGTGAGAGCATGTATTGCTCGATCCTTTTCAATATCACCTTTAATTGAAAAGGATTTAAAATTTTAATTCTGCCCTGAATTGAACTAGTCGCGAAGCGATAAACTGATGGAATATTAAAAAAAAAAAAAAAAACTAGCTACGCATGCATGTGAATATGTGATAGTATTTGTCTAAGAAAGATCTGCCGAAAATATATTGTCGGTGATAACAATTAAGATCCACAAGCCTCATCATTGATCAATTCTGCTTAGCTACAAAACACCCAATACGGCAGAATTTGGCAGCCAGTGGCATGGCCTCACTTTTATGCGTTTCTTAATAGCTATAGCATTTGTCTAAGAAAGATCTGTTTACATTGCCTATTTTTAAGGCTTGAAATGGGTTTGCCTAAGAAAGTTTATTGAAATTAACCAACAATTATTGATTCAACGGTAAGAACTTATTCTCTTTGACCAGATGTCTTGAATTTGAGTTTTGATGGAAAAAAAAATGGTGTTGAGTGAGTAACAATTAAAAATGAAGAGGCAAATATAATGAAAAACTGATACGAAATATTATCCTTATATATAGATATTAATTTGTATTGCAATAATTAATGTACATAACTTGCAGCAGCCATCCTCAATACCAACAATTAAGCGTCACTTCTTCCCTTTAATTATTGATTTATGGAAGTTAACCAACATGGCCCATATATTATAAAACACTAGATAACATTCTGTCTAGGTCCTTGTTACTTTTTGTTCGTCATTTATAATATTTTTCTCCGTTTAGGTATTGACCAAACGCGTTTGTGCTTTCATCCTCTTATTTGAGATCACTTGCTTAAGGTCAATGTGTGAGAAAATGTGTTCATGTGGGTCAAATTCCATTATACGTTAATGAAAAAAGGATCAACTCATACGCTTCACATTGTACCAATTACCAAGTAGTAGTATTTCAGATCAGAGTTGATACTATTCTAGGATTCTTTTCCATTAAATTGGTGATTCCTGTTTTGCATGTCATTTTCTATCCCCACCAATTACTCTCCCTTTTTCTCTCACCAAAAAGAAACAAAGGCAAACAGAGGAAAAAGAGAAAAAGCAAGGGTAAAAAAAAAAAAAGGAAAATAAAAGCTCCATAGAGACAAGAAAGCCTTTCATTAATCAACCATATAAGTGCAGGCTTTCTCTCATAAAGTAAATATATTATATATAGTCCTTTTTTAGGAGAGAATTTTACAAAACCAGGGACTCTATCTAAAGATGGGTTTGAGGGATTACAATGTAGAAGACAAAAATCTATACCTTCAAACCCCTACTTTCATCGAATGGCTCAAACCATCTTCCTCTCTAACTAGTTCACTATCATCATCTCCTTCTTCTTCCTTAACTCAGCATGAAACTATCCAGTTTTTTCCCATTTTAAATGGATTCACCCCTGGAAAGCCCTCTGAGGAAGACCATGAAGTGCAAAAGGAAGGTTTTGAAGTAAAAGAAGAAAAGGTGGAAAAGGTGACTGTGGCTTTGCACATTGGATTGCCTAACACTACAGAAAGTCCTGAAACTGATGATGATCAGAAGAATGTTTTACATGTTAAGGAAGAAGAAGAAGAACCCTTGAAGAAAACCTTCCATGGCTGTTCTTTTAACAAGGAGCGAAGGTTTTGGATACCAACTCCTGCACAGATCCTTGTTGGACCGATGCAGTTTGCTTGCTCCATATGCAGCAAGACCTTCAATAGATATAACAATATGCAGGTTAGTTGATTCTCAACTTCTCACATGGAAAACAAATTTTAGATTTTCTATTAAACTATTTTCTCATAAACTAACTTGTTTATAATGACAACATATATTTAACTAAGAATTAAGCTAGGATCTATCTATCAAAGGAAAAGGAAAAGGAAAGAGTAGTGGCAACTGAGAACTAATTAAGCATTTCATTGTTTGAAATGAAAATCACGCATGCTTTTCATATTATACACATACCCTATCCAATATCTTATACTTCAATTGCATCCCTAAACACTACCATTAACAAAATAGAATCGATCACCACACTCTGTTGGAAATTAAATGCTTTTCAAAAACAGTTTTTTATATGATTAAAACAAAAAACAAAAAAGCCTGTTTGAAAATGATCATTTTGTAAAAATAATTTTAAAAATTATAACTATTTTTTAATTTTTAGAATCGAATTTAGAGAATATGGGTTATGATTTAAGAGGTAGAATATTCTTACTGCTAATTTTTTCTACTACTACTATACTGCTACTCTAATCGTCATTGAATTCAAAAGTTGTCTTTCTTTTTTCTCTCTTCAATCAATTTTTCCTCTAATCCAAAGGTGATTAGAGTAGTAGAAAAAAAATTGATAATAAGAATATCCTAATCTCATAATTTAATTCTAAAAACTAATAAACAGTTGTAGTTTTTAAAATTATTATTACAAAACAGATATTATCAAATATATGTTTTTTTGTTTTTATTCTGAAAATCAAAAAGTATTTTTGAAAACAGATTTCAAACAAGTCTTATATCTTAGTTGTTTTTGTTTTGTGTTCTGACTTTTAACTTTCAAAAAAAAAAAATACAAAAAATACTTGTTTCATTAACTATTTTACAAAATAATTTTAAGAAAAAGTAAAGAAACAAAATACAATCAAATAGGCTCTTAGTTTGTGTTAATTTTTACAAGTAGCTAGCTCCTATATATATATATATATATATATATATATATATATATATATATATATATATATAAACGTTGTAAAATTTGAGATTTAAAAGCAATTGAAAATAAAATTATATATGGTTATGGGGTAATTACCATCTCAGTACTGTAGATATCAATTTTCTTCACAATCACATCATTAGACATCCAGGGGGCTAGGTTTTCATGACAAATCTGCTATATCATTGTTTTATGATCAACGAGTTCTATCATATAATCCACCAACTATACCATGCTATACTTTTGTTCATAATTGGTACGTGAGAGTACCATGAATATGTTTTTCCTTTTTCAAATGCTATCACTTTATTTCAATTTTTTATTTTATTTTTGTTAATAACACATACTCATTATGAATCATTCAGCGGCTCAGCGCCGTCTTCATGTGATCCTAACTCCTCCTTTGCTAGTTTAATATAATCTTTTTAATTTGATAATTTGGAAGTAAATATTTCATGTTAAAAATTCATATGATCCAATTACATGAAATTTTTGTGTCTATATCTCTCTTCACATGCATTAAATGTGTGAAGTCCAATTATTATTAATGAATAAAGAGACACACAAAAATTTGGCATACCTCTCATGTAAAATTTTAATATGAGAGATGATTCATTCCCCGGTAATTTAACCCTCTGTATCTTTTGTAACGGATGACGAATTTGTATTAGCTAGTGATTATCTCTACACAGAATTGAATTCCCTGCTCTTTATCCAAGGGAACATTAAGATCCGTTTTACATAATGATGATGAGGGCGAAGATAATCATCAAGAAAACAACAATTATATTTAAATGAACTTTAATGACTATATAAACATGATTCTTTGATGACCGTCTTTTTCTTTTGCTTTCTTTTTCACTCTATGAAATTCGAGACAGAAGGCTTGATGCCCCGCATAGCATCCCTTCAACTTTTAGTAAAAGGCTCCTTTTATCCCATATCTTCATGCTTTTATCCTTTTCCTTCAAAGGGAATTGTAATTCCATATGTTCATGCTTTTACTTCCTTTCCATGTATTTGTCCTTTCGGGTTTAAGACCTCAGAATACGAACAGAATAAGAACTAATCGTAAGTCAAATAAAGGCCAACATTGGTAGGTCATATAAGCAGGCTTCAGGATTAATTTTAATGGCCTAATTTGAAGCAAGTAATACACGTGTAAACAATCAATTCAACCCAAAAGCTTAAACTCTTTGGTAAAGGTTACATTAATAATTTCATATTATATTTATTTAACATATCCTTCACATTAGAACTCATTGGACTTGAACAATAAACAATACACAAGTCCAACTACCTATATTAAGAAATTTCATAATATTTTATTATTTATCAATAGAGAAAACTATGAGGACCGAACTCGAGATCAACTGGCCATGAAGGCTCTAAAATTATGTAAAAACTAATTCAACCCAAAACTTAATCAGTTAGGTAAATGATATGTTAATAATTTTATGTTATATTTATTTATCACACTAATAATTTTATATTATATACTCACAAACTAAAATGAACTTTTACCGTTTGCAGATGCATATGTGGGGACATGGGTCCGAATTTAGAAAAGGACCAGACTCACTTAGAGGAACACAACCAGCTGCAATGCTAAGGCTACCATGTTATTGTTGTGCACAGGGTTGCAAGAACAACATCAATCATCCAAGAGGAAAGCCCTTGAAGGACTTCAGAACGCTACAAACCCACTACAAAAGAAAGCATGGGGCAAAACCATTTATGTGCAGAAAATGTGGGAAAGCATTTGCAGTTAAAGGGGATTGGAGGACTCATGAGAAGAACTGTGGTAAGTTGTGGTATTGCACTTGTGGTTCAGATTTTAAGCACAAAAGATCTCTTAAAGATCATATTAGATCCTTTGGAAAAGGTCACTCCCCACATCCTTCTATTGAAGCCTTCGAGGATGAGAAAGAATCCATTACCGGGTCTGATGAAGATGAAGTTGCTCATACATAATCATGATCTAACATGTTTGTTGCTTTCCTTTACTATAAAGTAGTAGTAACCGTAGCAAAGCTTGGTCACTGCGCTTGTGCTCAGTAACAAAAAATTCTCAACAATTGCTGAGGCATTAAAATAGAGAGCGGTTTGCTACCGAGCACTTGCAGGGTGGTGATAAGCTAGCAGGGAAAGAGATATAGACGAGTTTGCTTTGTGGTTAATTAATAAGATGGTTTGTACCAAATAAAAAATAAAAAATAAGATGGTTTAAGTGATGAAGCATGTGAATTTTCTTCTCATAGCAACAGAAGAGAAAATTTATCCGCTTCGTTACTAAACGCTAGTCCTCATTAATTTGAGGACTTCAGTACAGTTGTTTTAAAATCTTTTTAACACTTAAATGTTTATTGAATGTTACCATAAAGATGTATGCAAAATGTGTACTACATGCGGCGTTTATGTTATATATAAGTACAAAGAGTTTTATTCTTGTTATTTTATTCCAGTAATGGTTTGGTTTCAGTTGTTTATTGAATGTCCCCTTCCTATTAACCAAGTCGATTTCACGAATTGGAAAAGATGTTACAACGAATCATTTATAATTATTTGGGAAAAGTGTTTGTTCTTTTAAATGACACAACTTATATCCTTTCACTCTCACAAAGAGGTGGGACCTACACCTTTATATTTTTTTGTCCACTCTCTTTCCTCCTTTATCTATCTCTTACTCTCACTTAAAATGACATAACTTTACATTCTTTAAAATGATACACACTTTTCCCTAATTATTTATCAAGCAAAAGGTAATTTCGTCCAAAAATGTAAGGGCTCGTTTGGTGAACAGGATAGGATAAGGGTAGGATATATGATATGGGGCTGATAAGGGTAGGATATGATATGAGGCTGATAAGCCTATATCATTTTCTTTGTTTGATGAGCATCTGATTAGAAATCTGATAAAATTATGTAGAAGGAGAAAGGAGAAAGAAAAAACAAAATATAATGCAATAAATACAAATATATTGGATATCGTGGGATATATTGGTTAGCGTGAGGATATATTGGATATCCAATATTGGTATCTTATCCTATTGAATCCTAACCCAGCTCCCCCCATAGGATAAGAAATCTTATATTGGATATGATAAAATGAGATAATAGGATAAGCTAATCATATCCTATTGACCCACCAAACAAGAGATAAAAGTAGGATATGACAAGTTATCATATCCTATCTTTTTTATCAGGTGTTCCAAACAGGTCCTAGAAGATTTTCACAATGCTTTCTACTCTTAAGAATATGATTACTAATTGGCCACTCACGAAACAATCAAAAGTGCATATATCTATAATCTATCCTTCCTTTAATTTCCCAATAAACAATTCTAAAGTAAAAAAAAAAAACACTGAAAAACTTAAAAATTTAAGAGGGACATCGAATTATTGGGATGGACTTTGTCTATATCAAAGAGATGAGTAATTGATTGAAACATGTTGGTTCAGCAGCAAGCTCGCTAAATGTGAAAGTGGTGCTGAGATATAATCTCTTTCCTTCTTCTTTTTTCTCATACCTACTCCCATATATTGTCAGGTCATTGATAGAACTGGTTAGCATGACACTTTTAGTCGCATATCTAGGTGATCTTCATAGAAAGGCACTCAAAATGGTTGATTAATTACGCAACTGTGTTTGAAAAGGAGATCTTGTGTTACAAGGACCTCCTTTTCTTAAAGAAGACGCGGTGATCATTAATACACGTGAGGAAAGAGAGAGAAAAGAAGAGTAAAATAAAAGGGTTTAGGATGTGGATTCTTTTGAGGTAGGCTTGACCAAAGAAAAAAAGTAGTAGAAAAAATGGGAGGTTGTATTTGATTCTTGAAGATAAGGGACCTCCACCATGCTTTGTCGGGTAAAACGTTAGGGGTAGAAAGATCACTACCACCATCTTTTAACTGCACTAATTTGGCTAAACTAGAAGCATCCTTTCATATTTAAAAGTGCCAGTCCCTGTGAGCGCCTCTCTCTCAAGTCACTCTTGTTAGCTAGCCAGCTAGGTTAACCAAAATACGGTCATATATGGCACCAATATCCCGTGATGCAAATAGGGTCCTGATCCCATCCAATCTTGTCCCTAATAAACCCAATATCAAGATCATGTTTAGAATTTGATCCTTCTTGGAAAGTTATAATATAAAAGAGCTTTGCATCTCTCGTTTAACATGAGGTTAGAAAAAAAATTTCACATACCTAATTCAGATGGATCCCGTGATAAATAAAAAATATATTACACCTAAAATGATCTCTCAATAACATGAGAAAACAATTCTTCTGATAAAGGAGAAATTGTTTTCCGAATATAAAAATATTAAATATGGGGCCATGAGGTTTGATTTCGTAATATTGTAACATAGGCTTTAATGTTATATAAAGTAATCAATTCAACCCAACAACTCAAGTTGATAAATGAAAGCGTATCCATAATTTTTATATTTCTCTAACACAAACTTCACATATAAAAGCTCTTTGAGCTTCTATGTGGATCGATATTGTACAAGTTTTCTTTTTCTTTTTTTATCTTATGCTAACTTAATTCTAGTAGAAAGTAAGGACGATGGTGATTGAACTCATCATTTTATATTCACGGAGACTTTAGCACCGTGATAAACAACTATCTCACCTAAAATTTTAAGGTGATGGATGAAAATAATTTTTTATATTTCTCTAATATACATGTGCACACATGTGTTATTTATTTAAGTAATTTAATGTATGAATGCTCAAGAAGTTCAAAGTGAAATATTTTTATTACATGTACTAAAAAAAGCTAAGAAACACATCAGCTAGCGTTTGCTTTTAAATTTTATTACCTAGACAAATCCCTACACCGCACACCTATTATTCATACGTTGGAAAATCGAAGTTTAGCTGCGTGCTTGACTTGATTTAAAGAAAAATAAAGTTAAAAATTAAACTATTCTTAAAAAAAAATTCTAATTTAACATGTAAAGATACATTATTTTTATTTTTATTTTTTTGGTATTTAAAGATACATTATTTACTTTGCTGTTCTGCGCTCTTTTCATCACATCCGAGTTAAAGGACAAAAGATTAACGTCTTTTTTACCCAAGTATAAGCGGAATCAATAGAGGCGTTCATGGGCTGGATTTATGGGCTTTTTTACGTCAAAGTAGTCTATAACAGTTTTAAAACTCGGCTCGGACCGGCCGGGTCGACCCGGGACTCGGTGACCCGGTGGATTCTCCAGTCCGAGCGGGTAGTTGGATCGCTTCTGCAGTCAATTTGGATTGGACCGGTTGACCCAGTCGAAACCCGATGACCCAGTGACCCGGGTTAGACCGGTTATTCTTTTTTTTTTTTTTGGTAAATTTTTTTTTGTTGATAAGAACTCTTGAATTAAATCATATTCATATAAAATATTTTATGATGAATATGATTAAAAGTAAGGTGAAAATAATAAAGTATTTTAGATTAGTGCAGTTCGTTTATGTAATTTAGTTGCGTCTTATAATAATCTCATGAAGTTAAGTGATGATAAACACTGATGGTCTCATGATCTCATCTCTACGGTGGACACTTTTTTTTTAGTGTATATTTCATGCATACTATTTGTTATCATGATAACGGTGACACTTTTTTTCTTAGTGTATATTTCATGCATACTATTTGTTATCATAATTTAATTTATCCGTATCATGTCAAGCACAAAAGGTGCTTTAACTTATATTGCAATTTTAATCCAATATTAGGATATGGTCTAGAGTTAGAAGCTTAGAAGTATATAATATTTGCTATCATTGAAAATTAATTTTTTTTTGGAAGGTCATTGATAGTTTTCTTATATAAATTTTTATTAATAAAAGTAATATTTTCATATTTTTAATATGTGAAGAGTAAATCCGGTTCAACCCGGTTGAACCAGTGACCCAGTACCTCTACCGATTCGATGATCGATCCGAGTTTTAAAACACTCCTCTATGACTCTTAATGAACCTTAACTCTTAATGAACCTTCATCTAACATACTCTTCGGTTCTCAATAGTCTTACTTAAAGCTCGTCTGGTCATTGACGTGTTAGAGGAGTGCTCATCAATGAATACTCGTTTAATCAGAAGTTATTGGTCAAATACTATAAAATAAAAATATGAAAATATATGAATAATATATATATATAAATTTATGACATATCTGAATTAGTAGCATATTTAAATGTTATTGGGCTAAAAGTTAGGATATATAAGGCAACATATGAAAGGACGTGGCAAGCACTTAAAAGACCCTCCTTTCACTATAAGTCATGGATAAAATGGTCAGATTATTATGTTTATGTTTATCCTGTGCATATAACTGATAATGGGTCTTCTTATTTACTCTCTATTCTAATGTGTTCTCTTATCACAAGTTTATTTATGTTAAATGAAACATAAGAGAATCCATAAACTGATAAACCTTATTCAATATTCTCCAAAGACTTTTCGATGGCATGTTTAATTTGATCATTAAAGGTTCAAAGAGTGTGTTGATATGAGTAAAATTTACACGTTCAGTTGTTGCCTGATGCCTACTCAGGTTGAGAATACAAAAAGTGAATCATGAATCAGTATTGGTTTCCAGTATATGTGCATTTAACAATTAAAACAAGAAGAGAACAATTCAGATGTGATATGTGATATGAATTTTTTTATTTTTTGAGTAAACACCCTTTTTTGGTCCCTGACAATATTTACGAAATCCTTTTTAGTCCCTAGCAATAAAAAAGGACCAAATTGGTCCCTAACAGTATGTAAAAAGGGCTACGTTAGTGATGAAAGAGTTGACATAAGGACTAATGTGGCCCTTTTTTCATAATTTTAGGGATTAATTTGGTCCTTTTCTATTGTCAGGGACTAAAAAGGATTTCGTAGATATTACCAGGGACCAAAAAGGGTGTTTATTCTTTTTTTTTTTTTTTTACTATTCCATCACGCAATCGTCAGCAAAATTGTCATTGATACATGACAAGAGGAGGAATCTTGATATTGTCCGAAATAAATGGTATTGGCTTATGTCCTTCCAAAAGGTCACGGTAAAATGCATATTCTGCCTCATAGTCATGCAAACCAAGTTCAGCCCTCTGATTGGTATGATAGTGATGTTTAGCAGAAGCTGATTTCCCAAACCCTAACATACTAACATTTTCACATATTCCCAAAGCCAACATCACCGCTTGGAAACCAGAAGAATAATGAAAATAAACTTCATCATGGGCTGGGCCCCATTGTTCCAAAACCTTCCCTGTTTCCTCAAAAAACAGCTTCAAAGAATAGTACTTGACAATCCGAGCACACAACACATCGAACCGTGGATCAGTTACCAACAAAGGGGCTTTGAGGGAAGAATTGCACACAATGTAATCCATGAAATGTGCGGGTTGACAAATGTACATAACCGTTGCCACGTCAGCTCCATAAGAGTGGCACAAACAACCCTTCCCCACGATTCTCGCACAAGCGTGCAATATGTTACTATTCACAAAGGAAATGTTTGTTTTTGACCCAACCTTGTTCTCAAAACCTTCGACCCTCGCATTGTTCAACCGAATAACAACCTCGTGGGAATCAATCATCTTCCCATAATCTTTGTTCAACAAAATCCCACTGTTCCCAACAACAGCACACGAAGAGTACCTCTCATATGAACCCACCAACTCAATGGGATATTTCACTAAGCGTGTCAACTCTGACATAATATTGGGCTGAAACTGAAAACTCTTCTTTAAGGCCCAATCACGCAGAGCCCTTTGAAAATCAGGCAAATATCTTTGGAACAACGGAGAACGCAACGTTACGGGGACACGTGCCTGGTTGCCGAGGTTTGAATCCAAAAGCTGCTGGATTTCGTGTTTCCATTGTTCTTCAACGGTGTCGATGGCGGCGTATTTTAGCAGGGTCTCTGGTGTGGGAGGTTGGAGCTGGAAAAGCACAATGCTTTGAAGTTCGGTAACGGCGGCAACGAAAACAACGAGGAGGAGGAAACCAAACAGTGGACGAAACGAACATTTCATTGGCACGACAGAACAATCGTCGAAACCATCCTTGTCTTCGGGAACCTTCGGCATCCGAAACAAAGGTAAGAAAGTGTTTGCAATGTTGAGGTTATAATTTAGTTGGTTTGGATTATGGTGGTGTTGTTAAAGGGCATCAGACATTAATTAATAAGAAGGGGTAGTTTGACTTTGATGCTATTGTGAAAGTGAGATGCAGAGGTTGGTTGCATGTGGAGTAAGTCCCTTACAGGGGAGGTAGGGAGTGATTGGGTGGTTTGCAAGGATGTTGGGATACAGTCCGGGAATATTTGGAGTGGGGTCCATGTGAGTTTAGATCCAACCTTTTTCTTGTACATGAATGCATGTCAAAGTCAATATTAGATTTATAGGAGAAAATCATTGGATTTTATTTCTAATGATGCAATTATTGTTATTATTTTATCATTACTCGGCATCTGATTTCTGTTTTGACTATTTTTTAACCATATAAAGGGAAGTTAAGTGCTTAATTTAAACTTAACTTATTATAAGAGTGGCAGTTTATTTGTCTTTTACCACGCAATGTTAGAGGCAATAAGCATGCTGTTTCTACGATAGTGTCAAATATTTATTTAATTTCATGTTTTTCTTTTCCTATTTTTTATGCAATGTTGTTATTTAATATTTATAAACAGGGATATGTTATTCTATTTACTTCCTTTTTTTCTGCCTACTTTTATTTATCATTTTCTAATATCGTTAAATTAAAAATATCAACATCTTTCGATTACAGCAAAGGGCAGGATCAATATCAGAATATTTCACTCAGCTAAAGACCTTATGAACCGAACTTGATAGCCTCGAACCTTCGCTCAATTGCTTCTGTGGGGCTTTGGTGCAAATACAAGCAACTAAAGAAAAGAATCATGTAATCCATTTCTTTGAGAGGACTCAACGAAAGATATGCACAGACAAGATCCCAGATAATGCTTATGCAACATTTGTCGGGTATATGAATCAAATTTTCTCTCTGATTATTCAGCAAGAACGCCAATTGAATGCAGACAATGTTGAAAATGAAATTGAAAGTGAGCCTAAGACTTTGCTGAATGTTACTACTCATCAATATGCAGGAGGAGGTGGTCAATTTACAAGAGGAAGAGAAGAGGACGTGGAAATGCTGCCAAGATTTGCACTCACTGTGGCAGAACCAATCATAGCATAGATACTTGTTACACGAAACATGGTTACCCACCCGGCTACAAACAAGGTTCCTCTTACAATTAACATAACCAATGGGGCCCGCTGGATGTTACGGGGCAAGCTTTGTTTGTTATTTAGTATTATGAAACGAGAGAGGAGTAGTCAGAGGCATTTTTTTGGGTCAACAATATTCTCAGTGATCAAACAATGGGAAGAAGATGAAATGGGAGGATTAGACAACTAAGCGACGTTCACATTACACTGCTATCAATTGAACGCGTCCTAGAGTCAAATGGATTCTTCATTGTGTGCATTTGGGTGATATTTGGGACAAGATTATTGTTTGGCGTGAGTAGTGGATAATAACAAACAACCTAATTCACTGTATGAAATAGAATTATTAAGTTGCATCTTTCCTTGCACGGGTGGTTAATACACGTAATTCTTAGCCCAACTAGTTTATAATCCGTGTATTACATAGATTATTTAAGGTGGTGTTTGGTTGGAAGATTTTTGTAGGATGCATGGGAAAGTTTGGATGTTCAATAATATCATGTTTGGTAGCACTTAAAAAAAAATGATGGGAAAATTGTATTGATGGAGAAATTTTTTGTGTGTAATCTTAAACCAAATTCTCAAAGAAAAATCCCACCCAGTGGGTGGTATTGTGATTTTGCAGGGTAAATTAAAAAGTTGATGCTAAAATTGTGTCAATATTCTCGGTAAAATTTTGACCTACCAAACAACTTTTTTTAACTTTCCTATCAAACTCATTTTTCTACCACTTCCTTAGTAATTACATTTTTCCAGTATTCAAAAAATTTCTCCCCAACAAACAAACGTTCCACTAAAGAATTTTGTGTATGCATTGTTAGCATCACTGTCATGTATATAGTCAACGTTAAGGAATAAAAACAAAAACATAAGCAGTACATATATTTAGTATTTTTACATTTCAAAAAATATTTTGTCCTGTCTTCTTTAAGTAATTAAGATAATTTAATGAAGAGTATCAATAAGTATAAAAAATTATTCCCAATAGATTATTTAAATTATACCAATTAGTGCTTTTATTAAGAGTAAGCCAATGTGAGGGTGCTCAATCCGAAAAAGAGTTATCTATATTAAGAAGGTCAAAGTGAAAGCCACTGCAAGTGGATAACCAGAATGGGTCATTGCGGATGTCAGCTTTCATAGAAGTTTGAAACACTCGTTATATAATATTTAACTCATAAAGCCGTCCTATTCAATAAACTAGTTTTTTTAGGTGAAGAATTTTTTTCATAGGCTTGAGTTACAAAATAATGTTCTCGCAATGCATATATTCCACATTTCTACTAGGCAGCCGCGTCTTTGGGAGAGGCATAGCACAACGTAGAACGGCGGGGGACTTCCCTCTCCCAATGGTAAACACTACAATTGGTCGCTGAGACCTGATCCCTACAATCATTATCTATTATTAGAGTTTCATGCCTCCGAAATCACTTTTATATATTGTTCCATCTAGGTGGATCTTAATTAATATAGGATTTTGTGAGGTTGGTGTTTATGGGGAGAGCATATTTTCAATATTATAGGAGTAGGTAATCCTTTGCTTAAATTAAAAAGAGAGAGAGACTTAGTTGACATTAGCCATAAAAAGAGGGATATAATAGGTAAAATCAATTGCATTATATTTTTTCAATTTTGGTAAATAATATATTAAGTCTTTTTTTTGTTAAGACTGACAATATATTAGATCTTTAGTATTACGTAAGTATCAAAAATATTTTCCTATGGAGGAAAGAGTCGCATATGATTGTAGATTAATAATAGAGCTGTCAAAACGAGTCAGCCCGGCCCATTTAGCCCTAGCTTGTGTCGTTTAGGGCCAAAAAGCCTACAATAATATGGGCCAAAAACCCTAGCTCGTGGGCTTTCCAAAAATTTAATACGTCTTTTTTTTTGTTAAAAAAAAAACTAATATTTAATATATTCTCCATTGTAATACATTCCAAGGTTTCCACAAAGTTAAACATAAATATCACTGATTTACATAGCCAAATATATTACAAACCCATATATCCTAGTAGTGTTCCAAATTGTATTTACAGAGGCTGGAGAAGAAACAATGACCAGCTTACAACATGTATTTACAATCATAGAACATAATGTAACAACAATATACTTTGGTGTTTACTAGTTTGCAGGTTAGGAATTATGCACTGAAACCTCTATGCAGATGTTCGCAGAGGACCTCATATGTTTCATCCCATATTGAGACAGGGATCCACAATGTGTCTCAAAAGTCCTTACCTGCATTAAAAATAGATTAAGGAGCAACATTTTCTCATAAAAAAAAGTAACAACATTTTCTCATAAATTATTGGAACGCTACTGAAAATAGATTTTATAATAATGTAGAGGAAACTGATATTATATAAAATGACTTGTGTGATCCATTTAGGGCAGCAAATTACAATCAGATGTCAACATTGTAACAAAGAAATTAAATGACTAAATCTTCAGAATACCAAGCATTATGTACAACTATCAAAAATCTTCTTCAAATATTGTGGTTCTTAAGTGAAAAAAGTTAGCATCCTTTCCTACAAACTGAATCAAGGCGACAAAATATTATAATTACATGCATTCTCAGCATTGCTGTCAATGTAAAAATACTCAAGAATAGAGGGATTGCTATCAATGTAAATCCCCAGCATTGCTATCAATGTAAATTCCAGACATTACTGTCAAAAAGTTTAAGAACTTCTGTTGTCAGATACTCAAGAATGGAGGCCAAGTATACATCAAGAGTGGTCTCAACTTCGCATAATCAATCCTGCACAAAATCAATCTAAATACAAAATATCATCATAATTAAATCAATTAGACTCAACCTACACAGAATCAATGGATCTAAACTATAAATTTCAACTAGCCACTAACAGAAATACCTCACTAATCTTCAATTTGAACTTCTTGGTGCACATTGGCTTGTGATGTTGTTGTTTCATGATCACTAGTATTAGAATCATGTTATTTAAAACTCAAAATCAATTGAAACAAAACTACTAAATTATACAACCAATCCCTACATAACCAAGCAATATTAAAATATTTAGCATAATACCTCAAAGCCTTACCATTATGATTCACAAGAAAATCATGCAACCAATTCCTGGTGCAAATCAACATTTAAACATTTTTAGGAAGAGTGAAATTTTTATATTTGATAAAAACACGCTCACCGATACTGAAAGCATATTCTAATGCCACTGTAGTATTTGGAATACTCAGCACATCTCGGGCCATAATAGAGAGTGTGGGAAATCTAATTGTGCTTCCAATAATTAAGCACGTCAAAATCCTCCCCATAACCAAATTTAGCTTTTGGTTCATCCAAATAAAGATTTAATTCACTCTTACCAGCAACAAGCATACTTTCATTCTCAAACATTTTAACCTCCTGCAAGATTTGATATCTCAATTATATAAACGAAACAACAGTGAAAAAATGATTAAATTAGCATGAAAGAACTTACGCTGATGTATAATTTTTATTTTTAGGCCTACTGCTTTCACCACTTAACTTGTGTGAGAGATTGGATTTAATGGAAGAATGAGAATTAGAAGCACTTGATCCTTTAAGATTGCTCACATAAGCTTCTCAAACTTTTCTCTTATATTTTTAACCTTATTTTGAGAGGTAAAAGGATCAAGTTTTGCGTAGCAAAAGTCTAAGAAAATAAGCTTCAAATGTGGGTCAAGAATAGCTCCAAAAGCAAGAACTATACTATATTTCCTCCAATATTTGTCAAACTTCTCTTTCATCCTCATTGACATTTCACTTAAAG